TCGGAGCCTGGGCAGGGAGGAGGTCAGGCCCTGCACAGCAGCAGGAGTGGAGAGGAGAAGGGAGTGAAGGGTGTATGTCTGAAGGCTGAGTGAACTTGAAAACCATAAAACGCGTGTCAGGCTGTGCTCGTTACTCCACTTTAATTTTCAATAGGGTAAGGTGGTTAAAAACCTAGGCTGAAGATTTGTAGGAAATGCATGCATAAAGGACTCATACACTGTTATTTCCTTCAGAATTCTTTGTTGCTTGAAGCTCTGTGGCGTCTTGATGCACAGCGCGTTGTGAGCCTCCAAGAGCTGCTGGAAAGGTAGTGTGCTAGTGACTGCTCAGTGTCACCTCAACGTTACATTTCTTTTTTGCAATCTAGTTTAGTATAGATTATTTATATTTCAAATCCAAAAATCGCCTAGAGAAAGTATCTTTTATTTAAAGAGAACATTTGTTGTAATTGAAGTCTTTATCATGCACATTTTCTTTGTATGAGATATGTCTTGTGATAATAATATGTTTAAAAGCTAAAAAAGATGTCCAGGTAAATGTGGTCGATAGAATACATGCAGCTACTTTCGTCCCCTCCTGAAATTCCATTAAGAGTTAGAAAAGGGACTTTATAAAAAGGTGTAACCCCATAGAGATAGAAGAGTATAGGAGAGGCAATAACAGAAACAAAATTTTGAATCAGGAAACAGATGGACCAGTAGTAAACAACCTAGAAAACTTGAAGACCTGTCCTGAGCCAGCAGGTGGAAAGAAGCCAAGCCAGTTCATTGTCTTCGTTCCTAAAACACTCGTGTTGATGACACCAGGGAGGTGAAAGACTCAAAAGGACTGATTGAAAGTATATCTAAAAAGCATCTGGAACCTCAGGTGCCCTCCCTTGCTGCTTCCCAGCCCAGCAGAAGGCTAGAGGGTTACGTGCTTATCCTCTGGTCTAGTTTGGGAGACTGTCAAGCAGTTGGAAATGCCATGCTGAAACCAGGTGGTGGTGTGGCACCAGCTCACATTGGGATTAAAAGCTGGACTTCTTCCTTATACCAAAAAAATTCCAGATGAATTAAAGAGAGAGAAAAAATGAAAATATGAAAGTGCTCGAAGTCATAGAGGAATGTTTTTATAATCTTGAAGTAGGAAGGCTTAATTATTATATAACACACAGAAACTATGAAAAAAAAAAAGATTAGTAAATTTAACTAAATGGAAAACACATTTCTTAACACATACACACATAATGTCAGAACACCAAAATCTGTGAAGCAGAAATGGGCAGAACTGAAGGGAGAAATAGACATTCCAACAATAATCGTTAGAGACTCCAGTACATTCTTTCAGTAATGAATAGATTGAGTGAGATTAGCAATGATGTAAGAAGACATGAACACACGTACCAACTTGCCTTAGCTGACAACCATAGATCATTCCTAGTTGTAGCTAAATGCACATTTATAAGTACATGTGGAACAGTCTCCAGGATGTAGCACCAAGTTCAGGCCATAAAACAAGTTGGAAAAAATTTAAAAGGGGTGAAACGATTCAAAATATGTTCTCCAACCACAAAGAAATTTAATTAAGATCAACAACAGAAGGATTTGTGTAAAATCCACAATATTTGGAAATTAAACACACTTCTAAATATTGGGTCAAAGAAGAAATCACAAAAGAAATTAGAAAATGCCTTGAGATGAATGAAAACAAAAGCAATATACCAAAATTTATGGGAGCAGCTAACAAAATGCTTTGAGGGGAATTTATAGCTAAAAGCCTGTATTTAGAAAAAGAATGTTTTCAAATCAAGAACAAAAGCTTTGACCTGTAGAAACTAGAAAAAGAACAAACTAAACCCGAAGCAAGAATAGGGAAGAAAATAATAAGAATTAGAGTAGAGAGCAATAAACTAAGAGACAAAAAAATAGAAAAAAAAAATCAATGAAAAAAATTGGTTTTTTGGAAAGAGTAACAAAATTGACAAATTGGGCCAGGAAAGGGGTCCCAATAGAAAAAAAAAATCAATGAAAAAAATTGGTTTTTTGGAAAGAGTAACAAAATTGACAAAACTCTAGCAAGACTGACCAAGTAAAAGGGACCCAAATAACCGAAATCAGGAGTACAAGAAGGGCCATCACTACTGATCTTACAGGAACTAGAAGCACTGTAAGGGATGCCATAGCCAATTTGTACGTCAGCAAATTAGATGACATGGAAGAATTTCTGGAAAGACGCAAATGACAGAAACCAACTTAAAAAGAAAAAATCTGAGGGGCCGGCCCGGTGGCGCACTGCTACAGTGCGCCGCT